GCTGAAACGGTGCAGGAGCGAAGGGACAGATGGCAGAGATGACGCTGGGGGTTAGGCAGGGGTTGGGCCAACTGAGGCCTTGTAGGTCACGGAGGATTTTAGTCCTTCTGAGAGCAGTGGAAGCAATGCACGGGGAATCCCATCAGAATTGTGCTGTGAAAAATTCTCTCTGGCAGCAGTGTTGAGAAGAGACCAGAGGCAGTAAGCAGGATGTGGGGGCAATTGGGCTGCCAATTCTGCTGCCCAGAGGAGAGAGAGATGATCAGGGATGGATCAGGGAGTGGCAGACAGACAGAGGTACACAGGACCAAGAGCAGCAGGTGGATCAACAGGAATCAGGGCCCCTCCTGGTGGTGGCAAAGACTCATGATATTTTCCTTCCCTTTCTCTAGAAAATCTTCTCTCGGACCACGCAAGAGAAAAAGGTAATTATATGTAAAGAGTGATGGGTAGGAAACAAATAGCACAGTCTTTCTCTTCTCCCCTCTCATCTCCTCCAAGCTGGGGCAAGCATGGGGTGCACACAGCAGGCACTCTGGCTGTTCTGCCCACGAGCAGAGGGGAACAGTGTAGTGGAATGATGGTGAGGACTTCCCACTCAGGAGTCAGACAAACTTGGGTTTGAATCCTGCCTTCTTGGCCACTTACTAACTGGATGACCATGGGAAATTTTGTGTCCTTCTGAGCCTCAGACCACACCTCTATAAAACAGGAATAATAACTCTATGCACCGCACATTGTTGAGAGGATTCAGTGCCTGCCTCAGTATAAGAACAGGACATAGTAGATGGAGCCATTAGTAGAGGAAATGGTTCACACTAAACCAATATGCTCCCTTGGAGCCGCGTCACATTCAGCCTCATTGCTCCAACGTCGAATGCCTAACACTGCCTGGCTGAGACAGGGCCTGGCAGCAGATCGGCATACAAATCTAGTGTTTACTGACTCTTATTTGGAATAGTATGCCAGTATGTTGGGTGATTTTTGTCTTTGAGCTCATTGTGTGATCTCACTCTGTGTCATCTTATTCATGTAGACTGAATGTAGGGGAAGCTTTTATTCACTCAACAAATAATTGATAACTATCCTCCTAAGTGCCCTGGACTACACTAGATTCAGGGGCTGCAAGGGTGAGTAAGAGCAGACACAGCCTGTGCCTCCCAGGAAGTTTCAGTCTAGTCAGGGAGACAATGAAATAATTACACAGTAAATGTATACTAAAGAAATGCCACAAAAGAAAGCTCCCAGTTCCGTGAAGGCTATGACCAGGAGGACCCAACCAAGCTTGAGGTTTGGGGATGTGATGTTTGACTTGAAGGGCCGGAAGTCATGAGTGAAGAGGGAATGGAAAACCATCTACCGCAAAAAGAACAGCTTGTGAAAGAGGCATGGTCGGGGAGAGCGGCACTCACTGGGGAAGCTGGAAAGGTGCAGGAGCGAAGGGACAGATGGCAGGGACAGATGGCAGGGACGACGCTGGGGAGTTAGGCAGGGGTTGGGCCAACTGAGGCCTTGTAGGTCACGTGAGGGTTTTAGTCCTTCTGAGAGCAGTGGTAAAGCAATGCACGGGGATATCCCATCAGAATTGTGCTGTGAAAAATTCTCTCTGGCAGCAGTGTTGAGAGGAGACCAGAGGCAGTAAGCAGGATGTGGGGGGCAATTTGGGCTGCCAATTCTGCTGCCCAGAGGAGAGAGAGATGATCAGGGATGGATCAGGGAGGTGCAGACAGACAGAGGTACACAGGACCAAGAGCAGCAGGTGGATCAACAGGAATCAGGGCCCCTCCTGGTGGTGGCAAAGACTCATGATATTTTCCTTCCCTTTCTCTAGAAAATCTTCTCTCGGACCACGCAAGAGAAAAAGGTAATTATATTACCTTTTATATGTAAAGAGTGATGGGTAGGAAACAAATAGCACAGTCTTTCTCTTCTCCCCTCTCACCTCCTCCAAGCTGGGGCAAGCATGGGGTGCACACAGCAGGCACTCTGGCTGTTCTGCCCACGAGCAGAGGGGAACAGTGTAGTGGAATGATGGTGAGGACTTCCCACTCAGGAGTCAGACAAACTTGGGTTTGAATCCTGCCTTCTTGGCCACTTACTAACTGGATGACCATGGGCAAATTTTGTGTCCTTCTGAGCCTCAGACCACACCTCTATAAAACAGGAATAATAACTCTATGCACCGCACATTGTTGAGAGGATTCAGTACCTGCCTCAGTATAAGAACAGGACATAGTAGATGGAGCCATTAGTAGAGGAAATGGTTCACACTAAACCATATGCTCCCTTGGAGCCGCGTCACATTCAGCCTCATTGCTCCAACGTCGAATGCCTAACACTCGCCTGGCTGAGACAGGGCCTGGCAGCAGACTCGGACATACAACGTCAGTTCTCTGGCAGGGTCAGTCAGTGCCAGGCAGGGGAAACTGTGGGCCATGTGGCCTTCCAGAGAAGCCACAAGTCCTCCCCCAAAGCATATGGAGCAAAGACATATGTCCCCAAACCTTCTGGGGCCTCCAAATTTGTGAAATTTGTAACTTCAGGGAGCGACTGTAGAAAATAATGAAGTATATCAACAAGTTCACGTGAGGCCTTTAGCTAGTTTTACACGTTAAATATCGTAACAGTAGGCTATAAAAGGACAGCAAGGCATACACTCATGCACTGCAGTTACAAACACGCTGAAACACTCACAGACAGTGGAAATGAAACCAGACAGACAAAAAGGAAGGGGAAGCAGAAACCACAGACTTGGGCAAGCTGGGTTATCGGGAAGTGTTACCAGGCCCATCAGATTCCCCCGGTACATGACTCTGGATTAGGGACTGAGAAAAATGTCACCATCCTCCTGGGGGTGGAGTGATGAGCCCGCCAGGGCTCCAGGATAAAGGGGCAGGATCTGATCACTCACTTCTCTCCCTCTCTCTCTCTCTCTCTGGTGTTTAGGAAGACTCCATAAAGCCCTCAGTAAGTTCGGCTTCTCCTCTGTGGCACAAACTTCCCTCCGCTGACACCTTTGTTAGGATGAGTATCTGAGTTCCACTTCCTGGGACACAAGGGAGGGGACAAGGGTAATTAAAGCCATGGAGATTGGGGATTTCTTGGCTCTCCATGGCCTCTTTTCTCAAGTATGTCCTCCTCCTCTTTCTTATATGACTGTTATTTAGTCTCTAAATGGGAGATGTTTTACCAAGAATAGATGTATCTCCCATAGGTGAAGCCATCTGGAAGCCATCCCCCTGAAGTTCCTTTATTACCCAGGCATGACATTTCCGATAGGTGGGTCATGATGGATGGATCACATTAAACTGAATACACTGGAGCAGTGCTTCTCTACCATTTCTTGTCTGAAAACATTAAAAAATAACCCTGCAGACATCTGACATATCTATTTTATTTTACATTGAGAAAATACACATGGTAACAAAAATCTAATAGAGACTCAGTTTAATTTTTTTATTTATTTTTAAAGTACAGACAGAGTCTCGCTCTTGCTAAGGCTGGTCTCGAACGTCTGATCTCAAGTGATCCTCCTGCTTCAGCCTCCCAGAGTGCTAAGATTAGAGGCATGAGCCACTGTGCCCAGCCAGAGACTCAGTTTTAAATGAACTTATATATATATAATTATACATAATATATTATATATATTTTTTTTTTTCTTGAGACAGAGTCTTACTCTGTTGCCTGGGCTAGAGTGCCATGGCATCAGCCTAGATCACAGCAACCTCAACTTCCTGGGCTCAAGCAATCCTCCTGCCTCAGCCTCCTGAGTAGCTAGGACTACAGGCATGTGTCACCGTGCCTGGCTAATTTTTTCTATTTTTAGTTGTTTGGCTAATTTCTTTCTATATATAGTAGAGACGGGTCTCGCTCTTGCTCAGGCTGGCCTCAAACTCCTGAGCTCAAGCAATCCTCCTGCCTCGGCCTCCCAAAGTGCTAGGATTACAGGCGTGAGCCACCCGCACCCAGCCAAAATGAACTTATATTTTATTCTTCTCTCATATACATACATTTACATTCATTACCCATAGGTGTGAGATGTCTCCTTTATTCAGTCTGCCTAAGGTTGGGCTCACATAGGAATTGGCTGATTCTCTGCAGTAGTGCTGAGGACCATGCCCTACAGCTGGGAGCTATTGCCATTGCAAACACTTTATGGGGATGTTCTGGGGGATGGCAATTGAGGATCTGCTCTGGGAACGTGTTTGTGATGGGACTGTATCACTGTGGGAATGTAGAAGCCCTTTTCTGATCTGCCAAACTTTCTTATTCTTTAGAGAAACTCCGGAGTGAACTAAGTAAGTTTCCCATGTTCTTATAACTTCCATACCAACTTATCTCCTGTTGTCCTGATATTCCAGTGATAGTTCATCTCCCTTCTTTCTTCTTTCATAGGGTTGAAAAGAGCTGCAGCAAACTCAGGTGAGATGCACTTTCCCCGTGTTTGATCCCACCCTTCTGGGATTTCTCCAGTGCTTTAACAATCAGTCCCTTCTATGTCTTGCAGGCTGGAGAAGAGCCCGGTTGCATTTGGTAAGTTACACCAATCCAATAGATCCAGAGGCCATCCTCCTAAGGCTTTGTAACCTTAGACTGTGCTCCATTCCTTTGAAATGCAAACTGTAATTACTTTTATTGTTATCAAATCTGTTTATGGTTTGATCAAATATTTAAAATCTTTGTGATCTTTCTTTTGGGCACAGATTTAGAAAGTCTTCTCTCTTTTAGAGCACAGATAAATATTAGGTTTGCCCTTATTATGGTTTTTCTATGATTTTTAAGAAAAATTTTCTT